ATTATTTGCTTTCGTGAAATATATTACAAAACTATGAATAATACTTAATAACTTTTCCGAATCTCAATTCCACGGAAATATGGTTAATATTTTTCAATAGATTATATTACTCACTATGGACTTTTCTGCCGCTTTTTACTTTTTTGACAAACACGGTCAACTGCAACTGCAGCTTGCACTTTAGTTTGATATATAGCTCAATTCTGTGGCTGCTACAGATCGACCTAACTAAGTCGTATGACCTTCGGCGTAGCCAGGATGAAATTTAGGGGGGGGGGGGCTCGACTCTATTAAGCTGGCATTTCAGGGTACTATTTTATATATATATAAGGAAATTTTGAAAGTTAGGGGGGGAGGCTCGAGCACCCCCCTGCCCCTACCTGGCTACGCCCATGCTTATGACTGAGCAATTATATATAGATACTAAAGGCCTGAACTACAAAACATAGCGACATGTAACACATCATGCAAGTGCCAGTTTATATCATGTCGCTCATACATGTTTGAAAGTGATATATGAAGACATTGCCGAATAAATTCAAATCAAATCGTGCATCAAATTTATGCATGTCAACAAAAGGAACACATGCAACATATTCAGCATTATTTTACATTAGGGCTATTCGCGATTCGGTGCATAAGAGCTGACAAATTTATGCAATTGCAGAAATATGCCATGGATTGTGAGCGACCTTTATTAAACTGTCATTGTAAAACTTTTTTAATCAGCTGATAGAAATGTCAACCAGAGTTGCAATGCATAGCATTTTTATGCTATGGATTTTCGGTATTGCAAATTTGTCAAGCCATGACAAATGCAAATGCGTGTATTTTGTTTGTGTATTGCAAATAATTTGCAATACAAATTTGCAATGCAATGATGCTACGCCATTTGCACCGGATCGCGAATAGCCCTATTGTATATACGGGAAGAGATTTTCCGATTTTGCAAGCTCCTACTATAGTAAAATTTATTAAACAATTATCTAATTAAAAATCTATATACCAACGGTGAGCAAATGTGGCTCTTTTTACTTTTTAAAATACATATTTTTTTGCTGGGCATTCTTTTCCATGTGTTGTTTTTTTGTTTTATTCTTGTTGTTATTATTATTGATATTGGAACATTACCCGCAATTGGAGAATGAAAATTGGCTTTCTGACTTAATGTTCTTTACCGGTATGATGGAACATTTGCAAAACTT